AGATGTGGAAAGTGAGTGAGGAAAAAGATGCAATAGGAGAGAAAACTTTGAAACTAAAACTTGGGACACAAATGATATCAAACAAGTGTAGGTGTGGATTCATCTGTAATGAGACAGCACCCTATATCCCCCACACCTCCATCAGACACCCACACACACCCACACTACCCCATCACACCCCCACATTCTTGTCAATACATGCTAGCATGATTTACGAACAGGGAGGCTCACTGTAACATATTGAGTTTATTAAGGATGATAGTGAATGATAGCGAGTGATAGTGAGTGGTAGTGAGTGGTGGTGAGTGGTAGTGAGTGATGGTGGGTGATGGTGGGTGATAGTGAGATTAATGGGACAGAAATATGCAATTGAAATTCTATGAACCATCTATTTAGGAACTGGTAATGTAGTCCAGTGATTCATGTGGCGTGATTTATGGTGCTTCTGTGATGATGGTGGTGGTGGTGCTTCTGTGATGGTGGTGGTGGTGCTTCTGTGATGATGGTGGTGGTGGTGGTGGTGGTTCTGTTCGATGAAAACATACAACTCACGTATAAATGTCTGTCTATATTGTTCAACGCTATTTAATTAGAGTTTCATGACCTTTTTTAACCTATTTGGTGGTTTGGTTAAGTTTGGTTAAGTTTGGTTAGAGTTAGCTTTAACTACGAATTACTAAAAAAAAAAAAATTATCTCACGTGATGACTAATTAATTTACCTGCACCTCATCAGACAGCATTTACTTGAGACACACACCTGGTTACGACACAAAATAACATTAACTTTAGTCCCGTATTCCGTCCACACTCACCTGGTTATTTAATTACAGTGCAGTTGTCAAGACTTAATTACACACAGCAGCTATTGGCTAAATTACTAACAGCTCTAGTAGTGTCTGTATGTCTGTTCTATTTACTCGTAAGTTAATCGACTTTGATTTGTTAGTTCTACGATTTTTTATAAGTTAATTGTATGTTACTTTTTTTTTATTTATTTCTCTGACAGTGGGTTTCGTAAGGTTGATGGTTAGGTTAGGTTAGATTAGGTTAGGTTGGGTTAGGTTAGGAAAACTCGGTTCAAAATGACAGTACAGGTATATAAACAATGTATATAGACCGTACAGGTATATAAACAATGACAAACAGTAGTAATTCAAGCAAGGATAACCTAACCTAACCTAACCTTACCTAACCTAACCTACCTAACCTAACCTAACCTTACCTAAAGACTCCCTCAACCTCACAAGTTAAGACTCCACAAGACACCTGAACGAGTCTTAGGGAGGCAAACTCAGCGTCATTATGAATACAAACGCCATTACAAGACTATCAACCCCTGAGACTCAACAGATTGTGTGTGTGTATGAGGCTGAGACGTGGATATAACCAGCCCTGGGAGTATATATGGGCCGCCAGAGCCTTGTCAACACCCTCCCTCCCTCCCTCACTTGTGGCGAGTCTTAACACCTCCTCCTCCGAGGCTCCCAGTCACCTCCCTCCTCGAAGGCTCCCAGTCATCACCATTACCCAGTGCCTTTATGATATCCTTCCTTCTTCTGCTTCTCCTTCGTCATTTTGAACACATACGTCACCATACACCATCACCACACAACACCATACACCACTACACCATCACCATACACCACACCACACCACCATACACCACCACACCACACATCAACATACACCACCACACCACCATCCACACCACACCACCACACATCACCATACACCACACATCACCATACACCACACAACCCTACTACCCCATCACCATACACCACATCACCATACACCACACCACCCCCTCGTAATTCTTCCTCTTTGCTCAACCATGAAATTGAAGTTACTTTGACAAGATTGTGCAATTTATATGTCAGGTTGTGTTGTTGTTATTAAAAGGGGTGTGGGGGGGAAGTGATCTGTCTCCCATCTCCCCCCCTCTCTCTGTCTGTCTGTCTGTCCTGTCTCCCCCTTTCTCTGTCTCCCCATCTCCCCCTCTCTCTCTCTCTGTCTGTCTGTCTCCCCTTTCTCTGTCTCCCCACCCTCCACCTCTCTCTCTCTCCCTCTCTCTCTGACACGACCAATAAGACAAATATCCTTCCAAAGTCAAATTTACTGAGACGACGACAAAAGTTTTCTAACCTAATGTGGTTTCTAGTACTGACCGAGGAGGAGGAGGAGGAGGAGGAGGAGGAAGGGGAAGAGGAGGGAGAAGAAGAAGAAATGAAGGAGGAAGAGGAGGAGGAAGGAGGAAGAGGAGGAGGAATAAGAGAGAGAACAGAATAAGTAAATCACCAGCCAGCAGGGTAGACACTTAGGGCCGTTCGTAAACAAACATATGAGTAGGTGAGCGTGTCCCTGGCTCCTACCTGTACGCCCTTGACTACCAGAGTGCCACTTAAGGGGTATGAGTGGCACTTGAGGGGTTTAAGTGGGACCTAGTGATGTTTGAGTGGCACTTGAGGGGTTTGAGTGGCACTTGAGAGGTTTGAGTGGGGCTTATGGGGTTTGAGTGGCACACACACACACACACACACACACACACACACACACACACACACACACACTTGCCACTAGGGAAGAAATTTAATTAAAGAAGATGTTTTCCCGAAAAATTATCTTACGCGTGTTGACTTGCCGCTGAACCGATCAATATTGAGAAAAGAAAAAACATCAAATACTTGTACCTAATCTAACCTAATCTAACCTAACCTAACCTAACTTCACCCTAACCTAACCCTAACTTTCTTCCTAATCTAACCTTCTAACCTAACCTAACCTAGCCTAATCTAACCTAACACGTCCCACCCCCAGAAAAATCCTCTCTCTCTCCTCTATCTCTCTTCCCCCTCTCTCTCTCCTCCCCGTCACCCTCTCCTTCTCTTCCTCTCCTCTCCTCTCTCCCCCCTCTCCTTCCTCTCTCCTTCCCCCCTCCTTCTCTCCTCTCCTTTAAATGTTTCCAGGTGTTATATAGACGAATTCGTTACCTCGAGTCTCTGGGAACGACACAGAACATAGTTGAGGCTGTACCCGAAGCCTTTGCACAGTGTTGAAGAGAGGAGAGGAGACGCCTATTCATTACTTAAAACAAACCTCCTCGAGGGATTTTGGTCGACAGGGAGGAAATCCCCCCCTCCCTCCCCCCAAGAACGTCAACAAGGAATGATTCGGTGAAGTAGAATGTCCATGCGGCTTTTGACAGCTGGGGAAAAAAAAACGAACAGAAGAATAACTAGAGAGAGGAAATGTGAATGTCTCTTTTGTTGTTCTATCCTAAAAAAAAAAATAGAGAATGTCAGAGTGGAGTTACTTAGATTAAAATGCCCTGAGGGAGTCTGTCAATCGTGGAAACAACTCGGTGTGTACGAGGTAAAATACACCTATAGCTGGTATAAACTTTAATACACTCAGCAACACACACACACAGACATTGTATAGTGAAAGGAAACTATCTACCTACACCCCTAAACAAACCTGACAGCGGACCAACGCCTGAATGCACAAGAGAGAAATACAAACACCAGCTTACCGAGACCTTGAAAAACCCAAACAACAAAGTGTGTGGGAGAGCAAGGAAAAAAAAACACACACACACACACACAGAGCCAAGAGGTAAAACTGCCCGATGTTACTAGAAGCGGTGAAAGGCCTCACTGAAGGGGAAAAAATGGGTAGTGCTTTACAGAGCCGCCAGGGGGAGACGTGGGTGAGTGACTGAGTGAGCAGTTTACCCTCAGCGGCTGTGAGGGGTGAGGCAGGGAGAAATTATTGGGCCCGTTGTGTTTCTTGTTCCCATTGTAGGAGCAGTGAGAGGGAGTGAGGATGGGGGGAGGTGAGGAAGGCAGAGGGGGACTAGGTGGATGGAGGAAGGTTCAGTAGGAAGGAGAGTCTGAGTGGAGGGAAGGACGGAGAGATAGGGAGGTTGGAGGCCACAAAAAAGTAGTAGTAGTAGTAGTAGTAGTAGTAGTAGGATTTAGAACCACAATCACTCATGGGAAAATAATTAACACAGTCACTATAACTGCCCCAGTGCTCCATCATAACAACAATAAGTCACTATAAAGTATCTTGAACGCTTCACCATCCAACTGAGAGTAATGGTGAGACGAGGGGGGATGGTGAACTCTAAAATGGTGAATATTTAAGGCGTGTGGTATGGGCGTGGGTGGTGTTAGGGGGGGGGGTGGTGGTATGGACGCCCACATGAAAGTGTTGACAGGCCGGTAAATTGCTGCAGCTCTGAGAAAAATGAGGAGGAAAATGTGAGCACTTTAGTGAGGTGTGTGTGTGTGTGTGTGTGTGTGTGTGTGTTCTCTCTCCATATAATCCGTTAAATGAAGGAGTTTTCACATTTTAAATTCCCTCGATATAATGGAATTCCCTCTTCATATACAGTCGTCCATATAACAGACCCTTGATACAACGGGTCTTCCCTCTTCATATAGTCCGTTTAATAGAGGTGTCACTGTATTAAGTTAGTGGTTTAATATAACATACACCACCTCGCACTTAGAACTAATGGACGCTGATTTATTATGTAGACGATATAAGACACACACACGGGGTGGAGGAGACACACGGGGTGGAGGCACACGGGGTGGAGGGGGGTTGCTGTGTTGAGTGCTGCTTGGTGTACTTAACAGTGCTCTAGCGAGATACGTTCCCGCTTGAGTGGTAACTTTTTTCTGATGATATGAATAGTACTAAACCTTCCTAGCTTATTTCACCTTCAGATTAACAACCTTAATTATAACCTAACCTAGCTTAACCTAACCTAACCCAGCGTAACCTAACCTAACCCAGCCTTCAAGTGAGATAATCAGTTAACCTAATTTTCAAACGATCCTCATTTGTTTGCTCATTCATCTTATTTTATTAATTAAAAGAAAATTAGAACCAAAATTTTTTTATATGGGGACATTATTTTCTTTTCTTTTTGTCTTATTAATATTTCCCTTATATTAGATTCATATTCGTGCATAGAAAGTGGACTTACTGGTTGTTTGACGTTCACTGTGGTAACTTGAGACAGTAGGGATGACCTGACCTGACCTGACCTAAGATGACCTGACGGTACCTTCCCTCACAGTAGTTTAAGACAGACTGAGGGACGAGGGAGGGTTGAGAGCAGGCAGGCTGTGACTTCATGTCCGCCCCCCTGTTAGTACGCGTGACCCGGGAGATACCACGTCAGTGTGTGTGTGTAAAACGAACACTTAATCTAGACCAGGTAACATACAGGTAGATCACAAGGTAAGTCACATCTCCTAATTAGATTCACCTTACCTGGCTAGTGGGTCCTGCCCAGCCAGTACTAACACACTGTTCCCCTCAATAGCTGCTTCCCAATTACACGTCTACACACAGATTCGGGGTCGCCACATTCCCAGACGAATCCCTATCATCACGCCGAGCAAGGATAAGAAAGTCAAGCCAGTGCCTGAAACACTCCTGATTTGTGTACTGTACAGCCCTGTAAATGTATTGAACGTTTATCATTATGTCTAAATCACACACACGCACACTCCACCCCCTTCAAACACCCAAAACCTTAATTAAAACGATGAGTAATTAAAACTAAACCCAAATATATGAAAAACTAGATATAAAACTCCAACACCTGCGTTATTAAACCACTTGAGCCACTTACCTCAATAAGGTGGGATAGAACGAATGGTTTAGTCAGTACTCGTAGTCAAGTCCATTCACCTGGAGCCAATATGGACAACTCATAAGTCACGGCGCATAGCACTCAACTCCTACCTCGCCAAAGTACACAGGACTCAAGACACTGCTTCAATCTCAACCGAAGACTCACTTGTATATCACTAATCGACTATAACACCTTGATGCTCCTCAGCTTTCAACAAATCAGTACTTCGGTTTATTACCCACAAGAACGCTGAGCAATATGCATAAAACAGTGTACCTCACTCGTCACTCCAGCCCCAACAGACTAAGCAAACGAACTGAAATAAATAGAACAGCACAAGCAACTTTCAAGGTGGATATGATTCAGAGCAGATACTCACTCGTGTATGAATGATACAGAATATAATATCAGTTTCCCTTACACCTTGACCCTCCACCTGGTGTTGGGACGCGAAACTATTCTACCAATGTCCCTCTGGCGACTGGCGAAGTAGAGGAGAGGTATTTTGCTCTCTGGCAGACACTATCCATACATAATTGAACCTAACCAAACTTATCCTTAGCTAAAATAAGCTATCCTAATCTAAGCATACCTGGCCTAAGCTATTCTTAACGTTCTTAGCTCGGGAGATTCAGTAACACGACATTGGACCTTATGTTATATATTAATAAGGTATATAATCATGTAGAAGGATAACATTAAATTTCAATAAACGGCATGAAAGGGAAACAAAAGGCAATCAGATATGTAAACACACATATTTCAGGGTTATAAAAATAATACAAGAGACGTAATTTAAATCTAGGGATACGGTTTAATTAATGGATGTATTAAAGGATTCTTGGGTAAATATTGATAAATTAAACTAGCGAGATTAACGTGCCAGAAATTATATATCTAAAACAAAAGCAACTGGGAACATATTTGTGTTCTCTGATCTATTTCACATACATAAAATTCACGATTGTATAACACTGATTTATATGCCTCGAGTGTGGGAACTAATGACGAGAAGTTAATCCAATTATTATTTTTTATTTACTTATTAACCAAAATTTAACATTAACTAAACTATTTACCTGAGATCACTGATTACTTATGTTAAATTAAGTTAGTTTTACGTTGGATTGGTTAAGGTTAAGTTAGGTTAAGTGAATTTAGGTTAACTTAGTGTTCGGTTAAGTTAGGTTAAGTTGGTTAAATCCTAAGGTGAAATAAGCTGGGGTGGTTATTCTTCAGGTGATCCTTGCCATACCTTCTTTTAATTAAGGTGAGTTAATTAGCATAAATTACTCAATATCTCAGAGACTAATAATGAAACATGGCTCCAGGTAGAGGCAGGGGAGAGACCGTGATATAGACACCGATTTACCAGTCTATTGCCGTTGTAAAATAGACCAAAATAGCCAAAATAGCCAATAAAATAGCCAAAAATAGCCAATAAAAAACAATAAAATAACCAAATTAACCACAAAAATAGCCAACTTCACCAATAAAATAGCTCCCCATAATAGCCAATATATTTCACGCAAGTTAAGTTAAAAGCCGATATCGCTGCTGGAAGAATACAATATAGTTGATAAATATCGCCCAGTTACTTGGCGACCGCGGTAAAATAGTCGACAGTTTCTCTTCCGTTCCGCTAGTCTGAAGCCTCGTAAGTCTCCTGCACCTACCTGGGATAAAGGTGTCTTCTAGTGATACCTACCGCACTTCAATCCCTCCTACCACACAACTACCGCTCCAACCACACTACCACCACACCACCATCCTCCTACTCTACCACACCACCACACAACCGCACGCTTACCACACTACCACACTATTATGAACCGGAACCAGTGCCATTACTACATTAGTGTCATCATTTCAAGGTATCATTATCACGCGGGACCACAATTATGGCGTTTATTGTGTCTATATCGATGCTCATTTGTCTATATCGATGTTCATTTGTTTATATGACTCCCCCCGTGTGTTTATAATGGCGTGAGTCTGTTTATAATGGCGTGAGTGTGTTTATAAAGGCGTGAGTGTGATAATAATGGTGTGAGTGTGTTTATAATGGCGTGAGTCTGTTTATAATGGCGTGAGTCTGTTTATAATGGTGTGAGTGTGTTTATAATGGCGTGAGTCTGTTTATAATGGCGTGAGTCTGTTTATAATGGTGTGAGTGTGTTTATAATGGCGTGAGTCTGTTTATAATGGCGTGAGTCTGTTTATAATGGCGTGAGTCTGTTTATAATGGCGTGAGTCTGTTTATAAAGGCGTGAGTGTGTTTATAATGGCGTGAGTCTGTTTATAAAGGCGTGAGTCTGTTTATTTTGGAGTAAATTTTTCCTGAAATATATTTTTCCCGTTTTCCCCTAGTATGGATACATTTCCTAAGCATATTTTCCCCAATTTTTTCCCTCGTATAGATAAATTCCCTAAGTATATTCCCACATCTTTTCCCTAGTATAAATAAATTTCTTGATTACGTATATATTTTCCCCACGTTTTCTCCTGCTCCAGATAAACTTCCCTACCATATTTTTCCCCCTCCTTCATATATTCCCTCACTCTACCCCCTCCCCCCCCCCCCTCTCCCTACCTGGTCTCACTACCTGGCTGGCTCAAGTACCTCATGAGTCTCGGCTAATTTATGCCACCTCGCGCACCTGGACCATCCACGCAGCTTTCCAATTTCAACTTTTTCATATTGGCTTCAACACCATTAACATCATATTGGCCATAACACCACAAGAACACCATAACAACACTATGTTTATAATGTACATATTGGTATCCAGACTAACATGACTACACAAGGATTAGACCATTAACCTTTCAACGCCATAATAGTAAAGGTAGATCATTAGAGAACCATTGTAATTATCACATTACTGAGGGGTAATTACCTGGATGGATCTTAATTACACCTGAACCCCTAACTACGGCCCTAATAAGTTTCAATTACGTGTCTAACTCTATATTTCATGCCAATTACAAGATAATTTGGAGGTTCAATTACGGCAGGAACTTTAAAGTGCATCTTCCGTGTCCAAAAGTAAGGTCTTGGCTAGAGGAGTAAATTGGTAGGCGATGTAGTGACTCCCTGTAGCGACGAGTGGACCAGATCTACAGCCAGTGAATGTTGAAGCAGTATGAGAGGCTCCCAGCTGCTTACAGATGCATAGAGAGGCGTTGGAGTAACCTACACACACACACACACACACACACACACACACACACACACACACACACACACCACACACACACACACACCACACCTAGTAGCCCATGTATACACACACACACACCAACATACACACTTGTCTTAGTAGTTGTCAAAATCCTTCATCCATTGTGTCATATTATCTCACATAAAACCGTATAGATATTTTTTTAGGGGGGGACAATATTGTTATTAGCGTTTACCTTCTAATCGAGTTGTAACCGATGTGTAAATTCCATCCCTCTGTTATTAATGACGTTATAACAGCCAGTAGAAGTATTACATCGTCATGAATCACAGCTGAGGAGACCAAGTTCTTTGTTACCGTGATTGTTTTGGTGGGAAGGCTGTGTGATTAATGGTGTTGGTAGTGTTGTGAGGTATTGTGGTATTGTTGTCTGAAGTATCTGTGATTGTGTGGCTGTGTGTGTGTGTTAATGGAGAGAGAGAGAGAGAGAGAGAGAGAGAGAGAGAGAGAGAGAGAGAGAGAGAGAGAATTCACTATTTCACCCCCGAGATTGATCATTAAACAGAGGATTACACCTTCTCCATCTCCCTCCCCACCCACATACACCCCATCACCCCACCCACACCCACCTCACCCCCACCTCCCCACCCCATCCCACACCTTCCCCCCCACCCCATCCAACAACACACAATTTCCTATTTTTCCTTTAAACATTATACACACACACACACACACACACACACACACACACACACACACACACACACACACACACTTATACGGTGCCTACCTCCCAATCATAATTGTATATCATATAGCGAACTGAATATATCCAGTTCAGAAATATATCAAATAGTCTGGGCATATATTTTGGTATATATTAAAAAATGTCGACAGAGTTTAGCTATGCCGAATTATGGAATGTAATTAGCATAGGGAAATATTATTGAAATTTATCCCTGTGTATGTATGTATGTATGTATGTATGTATGTATGTATACCTGGAACAAACTTTTCCTTTTTACAATATTCTAATTAACTATTCCCTTCTTCACGCCACTAGTCTCCCACACCTGTTGTATTCAGGTAATGTTTAATGTGTACACCTGTGAAGGAATTAATTACTCCAGAAGGTGTCATTAATTAGCAGCTTAGAGTCAGTCACTTATAAAGGCGTTAATGATATTGATAATAGTAGTAATAATAATAATAATATAATAAC